AAGCTGCTTTCAATGTTGGCTACAGCGAGGTGATTCGCGACGCGTCCCGCAGCTGCCTGTGTTTCCACGACGTTAGACCTGCTTCCGCTGGACGGCCGCAACCTGTACGGTGCTCGCGGCAACCTCGTCACATGTCCAGCTCTCTCAACTCGTTTCCGGCTTCAATGTGAGTTGCCGGCCGCCGGCGCGGCAGATACGCGACGGCGGGGGACATGCGAGATATACCGTAACTTGGGAGGGGGTGCGTGTGCGGTCCCGGGAAAGAGGTGCAAAGTCCTGCTTCATTAAAATGTGATGGGTGGGGAGGCGAGATCCACAGTGACTTGGGAGGTTAGGTCGAGGCCTTTAAACCGTAGCTCTACCGTATCGGTGAGATCTACTGTAACTTGGGAGGTTAGGTGGAGGCCTTTAAACCGTAACTCTAGCTTAACAGCGAGATCTACTGTAACTTGTGAGGTTAGGTCGAGGCCTTTAAACCGTAACTCTACCTTAACAGCGAGACCTACTGTAACTTGGGAGGTTAGGTGGAGGGGATGGCTTTAAACCGTAACTCTACCGTAACAGCGAGATCTACTGTAACTTGGTAGGTTAGGTGGAGGCCTTTAAATCGTAACTCTACCGTAACAGCGAGATCTACTGTAACTTGGGAGGTTAGGTGGAGGCCTTTAACCGTAAATCTCTACATTGTAACAGCAGAGATTACTGTAACTTGGAGGTTAGGTGGACGGCCTTTAAACCGTAACTCTACCTTAACAGTCGAGATCTACTGTAAACTTGGGAGGTTAGTGGAGGCCTTTAAACCGTAACTCTACCGTAACAGTGAGATCTACTGTAACTTGGGAGGTTAGGTGGAGGCCTTTAAACCGTAACTCTACTGTAACAGCGAGATCTACTGTAACTTGGGAGGTTAGGTGGAGGCCTTTAAACCGTAACTCTACCTTAACAGCGAGATCTACTGTAACTTGGGAGGTTAGGTGGAGGCCTTTAAACCGTAACTCTACCGTAACAGTGAGATCTACTGTAACTTGGGAGGTTAGGTGGAGGCCTTTAAACCGTAACGGCAAGCGTAACAGTGAGATCTACTGTAACTTGGGAGGTTAGGTGGAGG